GGAGCCGCTCCGAGGATGGGGTGAGTCGCCCGCCCCCGGGGCAACGGGGCCTCCGGCCAGGGCGCCCCGTCCGCCGCCCCTCCCGGCGCCCGGGCTCAAGGAGCCGCCTTCCTGTGGAAGGGCCGGGTGATTAACCGGACACCCTGCTTAGAGAAGACCCTTAGAGAAGGGTTTCTGCCGTTAAACCCACCGCCATCCCACTCCCCGTGGGTCCGCGGCTCTCTTGGTCCCCAGCGGCCTCCGGCCGCCCGCGTCGGCCCCTTCCCCACCGAGTGATGCAGGGTGGACTTCCTGGCCGCTCCTGGCCAGAAGGGCCTACTTTGGCATCCTCCTGCCCTGCAAGCCCTGCGGGAGACGCGGGCGACCTTCCACCCTCTGACCGACCCTCCACCCTCTGACCGACCCTCCACCCTCCGTTCTCTGTTCTGCATCTTCCGCATGGGAAGCCCAGGTTGCTCAAGAGGGCAAGGGCCAGAAGTGGCACTAAAGGGACCACGTAGTTCTTCCGGTTTAACGTTTCTTCCCAGCTCCCCAAAGAAGCTCCTCTATTTCTCTCTTAAGATAACAAAACCTCCAAATGGTCCTAGCTATTATAATTATTATCCTGTTTTCCAGCTCCAGGGGAGGTAGCGTGTTGGCACTGGGCCTCCGGAAGGGCCCAGGATCCTGGGCTTCTGTCTCTGTGCCCCTCCTTCCCTCTGAGGGGCCATAGTTATACTCCCTCTTGGGGAGCAGTTGAAGAGATGGATCCCCACTTATGAATTGGAGGTCTTAGGATGTCCCAAGAGTTGGTGTGACCTAGCAGGCTTGGTCTGCTGTCGCCTAGGCCGTGGGTGGGGGGAGGCAACAGCCTGTGTGAGGAGAAGCTCTCCTAACCTGGTCCAGCCAGAGCTGGAGACACACGTGGGTGGGGCTGTGCTGTCCAGTCCCCTCCCTTCTGGCCCAGGACACTCCTCCCCGGTGCTTCCTGCTGCTAGGAATGCCGGGGGCGTGGGGGCTGCCCCCATTCTGACTCTGACATCCTTGCAGATGGGGCAGCCCAGAGCCCGACTGGCAGCTGTGTGGTGCCCAGTGTCACCAGCACCTATAGACGGATCCCGGACTCCACTTGTGGGTGCTCATCAGATTCTTGGAAGGAGGATGGCGAGCCAAGGGGTGTAGGGTGGCAGGTGCCCATTCTCAAATTGGCCTCTCGGGACTCAGGAGTGGAGATGGCAGTTGGGGACAGTCTCTTGGCCAGCTCACTGGGCCTTTCTCAGGACTCTCTGGACTTGGAGCCCACAGGGTGCCCCGAATCCCCAGCCACAGAGTCTTCCACCCACCTGGGGCGGCTCCGGGCCAGCCGAAAGCTAGAGCAGGTGTTGGAGCGGTCCCGCCGGCTCCCAACTTCTCCTGTCAGCTTGCGACGACACAGCTGTTCCTCAAAGCTGTCAAACGAGCTTGTGAGTGGTGAGAAGCACCTTTGTGGAGCCGGGGAACAAGAGGCCAATGATGCGGGCCTGGAAGAAGCAGAGGTGGTGAGTGCCAAGGCTCAGGCTGGATGAAGAGCGGGTTGCAGGTGGCCCGTGTATATGGAGCAATGGAGGCCCCCCACTCCAATCTCCCTGAAGCTCTCTCTGGGTGTGGCATTCCTTGCTCATAATTGATGGGTTATGTCACAGCTTCTTGCCTCACCCCACTCCCAGCTGTACCCAAGTAGGCAGGTGTAGGCCTGGCCTGGCACGATGCCTAGGTGGGCCCTGGAGGCCAGCTGGGTGTCTGTCCCTCCTCTCCCTACCTGTGATGTCCTTATCTCCTAGCCACCTAGGGTGGGCGTGTTGTTAAGTTCTGAAGTCTCCCAAGCTCACTGTATCCCACAGGTGGGGGGCGTGGGGCCTGAGGCTTGGGCCCACCTCCCAGGGCAGGGTCTTCGCTACTTAGAGCACCTGTGCCTGGTATTGGAGCAGATGGCGAGGCTCCAGCAACTCTGCTTGCAGCTGCAGACCCGGAGGCTCCTGGAGGTGAGTGAACAGCACAGGCCAGTGGTGGGCAGGCGAGCAGGGGAGGCGAGGAGGGGCAGCTCTCTGAGACCCAGGGTCTTTTCAGAACAGCCTCAGCTCTTTGCTTGGCCTTGTGCTTACTCCTGTTCAGAATCCTGCAGAGGAGGTGGGTCCGTCTCCCCCTTCTCATGACCCCGGCAGTGAGGTGCGTGGACCTTGGGAGCAGCTCAGTCAGACAGAGGAGACAGGTGAGGGGCAGTTGTGTTTCCCTCCTGTCCTGACTGCCCAGGACCCCACCAGTGAACCCCTGAGCCATGGAATGATGGGTCATGTCCTCTTCCCGGCCCTGGATCACCAGACTTTCTTCCTGAAGGGGCAAAAGCAGCTTCACCGCCACAGGTGGGGGTGCCCAGGGCCAACTCTCCCAGGCTGTCAGAGGCCCCAGCAGAGCCAGCTCACACCTTTTCATCCTCCCAGGGACACAAGGTAGGTGATAGGAATGTGTGGGGACAAGTGGTAGCAGAGGGTTGGGGGGATGTCTGGGTTGGTGGATGTCACAAAGGCCAGGAACCCTGGGGAAAATGATAGGGTTCTTGTTGCAGCAGGAAATGTGTCCTGGTTGTGGTGACAGCTGCCTTTGGGAACTCAGGAAGGGGTATATTGTTGGGAGGGGCTCCGTGGTTACTGCCTCACCCTCTGCTCAGCTGGATCTCTCCTACTGGAACAAGGTCAAGGTCCTGCTCAGCCGGATCCGCTGGAGGAATCGAGAACACGCTGCGCCCCCTACCGATCCTGATGACCTTGCCCCCAGGTGAGCCCAGTGACCCTGTCCAGGTCAGGGCATGGAGGCTTCCACTGGCCAGATGTTGTCTTTGTCTTTATGAAATGTGAGAGATATAGACAACCCTGGACAGGGTCCTGGAAGCAGCAGAAAGTGGTAAAAAGTGCCCCGTTATAGATGAGGCTGGGGACTGAGCTGGGGAAGAAAGTCACTTTCTTGAGGTCATACGATTTTTCAGTGGAAGAACCAGGACCCAAATATGGGAAATCTCACACCAGCCCTGAAAGCTCTTCTCCCAAAGTTGAAACTTAGGACACCTCGTCAGCATTTGGGGGAAAGCCAGGCAGGGTGCACAGGATCACAGTGGGCGATTGTCATCAGATTTGGGAGTTTGTACCGCATAATTCCCAGGGGAAGAAGCACATGTCAGTTAATATCCTCAAAGTACTCATGGCAATGCTCCATCAGCTCTGCACCCCCACTGGAAGGCTTTCGCCCAGCCTCATGCTGCCTTTCTTTTCAGGGCTGAGCCAAAGGACCTTCCTGAAAGGCCTCTGTTGCGCTCCCACCGGAAGACTTTTATGCCATCATTGGCAGTTAAGAAGCAAAGAGCAAAAAACCTTTCTGTGTGCTGACATCTCCTGGTGCAAGGACAAGACCATGGGGTGCCCAGTGAAGTTGTCCTCTCCCTTTTCTCTGTCGCTGCTTCTGGACACTGCCAGGAAAGCTGCTGATGCTCGCCCCTGTCTCTGAGCAAAGGGCTGAGTCTTACTCTGAGCCCCCTTTCAAGGAGCCCGCGTCCCTAAGAGGCTCCCAGGCTTCTCCTGGTGGCCTGAAATCCATGGGTTTAGATAATGTGAACTGCTTATTTATGAGGCATCCATGCAGCATGCATGGCATAGTGATCTGGCTGGGCCCAGTGGATTGAAGATGTGTATTTCAGCAAAATGACATATCTGTCTGTGAGACGTCAGTGTTATGAAGTGACTGGATCTAGCTATCTCTCCTGAATCTTGCACTCAGAGGACTGGTCTTCTGCGTGAAGAACTGCATTAGGATGCAGCTGACCTTCATTCCTTAGTGTGCCTTAGTGTGCAGTTACTGGGCTGAAGTTCTGGTGCTATCTTGGCTTCCTCTCCATTGAGTCTTAACAGTGGAGCAGAGTCCCTGCACCAGGAAGGTGTGTGTGCGAACACAGGGACAGCTGAGTAACCTGTAGGGTTGAGTACTGGCTGCTTTGCTAGCCTTTACATATTAGGGGAAACCAGAAGCCCATACTAGCTTTTAGACCTTGAGGAAGTCCCTTAACTTTTCTGAGCCATATCTTTCCACTTAACCTCCCAAATGGTATGATGCCTGCCCCACCTACCTCACAGGTTTGTCATGAGGATAAGATGAGATTAAACAGTTTCAAAGTGCTTTGTGAGTGTTACTGTTACATGAATAAGGGGGGAGATGAATGTGGGAGGGAGGCTGGACTGGAAGGATGAAGTGGAATTCAGTTATGATGGGGGAGGAGGGCCCTCCTGGTGGCACGGGTTTTGAAGCACAGCACTGTGGAAGTGTCCGCAGCCACTGCAACATGAGTTTGTGTCCTGGCCAGGGATGTGACTCACATGATGCAGCAGACCTCTCCTGACCCTCCGCTGCTCCCCTCAGCAGTGTATTTCATTCAATCTGACTGTGAATCCTCTCGCCCTCTGCAATTCTGGCCCATACCCCAGTTCTTGTATGCATTAATAAATAAATCTTTTAAAAAAGTGATAAAGAGGGACTGGGATTGCAAATGGGGACTGAAATGATCAGTTTTTGGTAGCAAGTTTGAGGAAATCATTTCAATGAAGTTTCATATTTCATATATGAGAATTAGGGCGCTAATCCTCGTATTCCTGACGATTATGCCCTCCCAGGGTGGTTTTGAAGACTAAAGGAAGTATTCATTATAGTTCTTTATAAATGTCTGTTTAAGTATTGTGGTGATTTATCTTAGGGTCCTAACTCTTTGATAATTGGGAAAGGGGAAAAGTTTAGTTTCTGTAGGGGCGGGGTGTGTGTGTGTGTGTGTGTGTGTGTGTGTGTCTGTATGTGTGTGTGTGTGTATGTGTGCGCGCGCGCGGAGAGTTTGGGAGGATAGGTCTAGGGAATGAAGTCATTGGCATGACTCAGATAAGAATTGTCTACGAGAAATGGCCTCTGATCAATCATCCTCGTCAGGTGGGGCTGCTTCTCTTGCAGCTGAATGAAGTCTTAGCAACTGTCAGAATGAGTTAAGGGGCGGGAGCTGATTGTTCTCTTCTGTTGAGGGTGTTCCGCTCCAGCTAGCTTGGAAACAGGAACCATTTTATGAAGTCTATTTTTCTAACGGAACACTTAAGCGAGGGCACCACCGAGGCGCGGTTTCCTAACTCGCATCCGATAGGGGAAGGCGCACTTCCGTTCCCCGGTTGGGGCGGGATGGCAGGCCGGCGTGGGGGAAGGGAGAGGTCGGTGGAGAAGAGGGAGGAACCATATCCGGGAGAGTGGCAGCTTCCGACCAGTGGTCGCGCTTCCGGAGAGGCGCTTCCGGTGGCGGCGGCAGCGGCGGCTGTGGTGGTTCCGGGTGTCTTTGTCCCCCCGGTGTCGCGGCCCTGGCCCGCAGGTGGGTTGGGGAGCCCCCTGCCGCCCCTCTGCCCCTTCGCTCCTCCCCTGGCCGAGGAGCTGCGAGGGCCGGGCAGAGAAGATGCACGGGGCGCGGAAGAGGCCGAGCCCCCTCAGGACTGCAAGCCCCGTCTCCCTGGCAACGGCCTCGGCCCTGGGGGCGGGCGGGAGGAGGAGAAACCGCGCGCCTTCGTCCTCCCACGGTGGCCTCGCCGCGGCCGGGCCGGGAGACTCAGCGCCGGCGGCTGCCGAGGCGGGAGCGAAGGGCCTGGGAGCGCGGGAGCAGGAGGGCGGGCGCGCAGCCGGATTCTCATCATCTGGGCCACAGAGCTACCTTCCCACCAGCCCGTCCGCTGAACAACGGGCCGGGCTTCCGGGGAGAGGGCCCGCACCATCCTCTCGGCACCAGCCTCCTCCATTTTTCCGGGCCTTGCGTGGAGCATTTTGGCGGATGTATTTGAATGAACGAATGTCACCGGGGCTCTTCGCAGTCCCCCCATCACCCAAATAATTTGGGGGAGGCCTGGCATATGAGAGGAGCGTTAAGTTGTCGGGAGACCTGGGCGTGAAGCCCAGTCGTGACACTAACTGGTTATGTGGCCTCGGGCAAGTCTCTTAATCGCGCTCAGCTTCAGTTTCCTTTACTTGAAGATAGCATGACAGTGTCACCCAGGAGGTTGTTGAGAAAGCCAACTGGAACAACGCAGCTTCTTCATTATCTGCACCCCTTTATATTCTCGTCATTTACCCTCATTCATTCTCAGTACACACCTCCCTGCTTTCTAAGATCCTTGGGTTCTTTTTGGAGGTAGATGGACGTTTTCCTTGTGAGTTGTTAATATTTCTTTTCTGATTGAAGGTTTTGCCCTAAGACTCTGAAAGAGGACAGCATTCCCAATGTCCCAGTTTAAGCGCCAGCGGATCAACCCCCTTCCAGGGGGACGCAACTTCTCAGGTGATCACTTTTATCCCAGGGCCTCATGCTGGGAAGTGTATGCTTCAGAGTCCTCTTTTAAAACATGGCTTGTGGGGTTTCTCTGGGGAGTACATTTTGCTGCTACTGCTTAGGAAAAATAGACCACGGTGGTCGCCACTGAAACCCTGTGGAGTTGCTTGGAGCTGCTTTGCCCTTTGAGTTCCCATGTTTGCTAGCTGACTGGTGCTTGAGATGGTAGGTGCAGTTCCTGGAGATTGCTCTTCTGTCCCCATAGGCACAGCTTCAACATCTCTTCTGGGTCCTCCTCCTGGTTTGCTCACGCCTCCTGTGGCCACAGACCTGTCTCAAAACGCCAGGCACCTACAGGTAGGTTGGGCATCCTTTCTGTTTTTTTTTAGCCTTTGGGACTAACACAACAAACGTGGGTGCTCGATGCTTTCAGCTTATGTTACGGTGTCCTTCTTGTCCTGTCCTAGGTTCCTTCAGGGTGACTCTTAATTCTCTGAGAAGGGAATTCTAAATTATGGCTGAAGAGAAATCTTTAGAGTATTTCTTGGAACTATAGAACTACAAATCCTAGAAAAAACCTGTAACCCAAGAATCATTACAACTCCCCACCCCCACCCCATCACACATCCTCCCAGAGATTGACTGTGTTGACTGTGTATGTGCATTTTCTTCTGTATGAATTGAAGCAGCAGTGCTCTGAGATAAGGGGTGGGCAGGGAGAAAAGCTAACGTGAACATGTGCCTTTGGCCAGATGGCTCCCTGTGAACTTAAATTGAGCCCTTCTCTTACAGGGCGGAGAGAAGCAGAGGGTCTTCACTGGCATTGTTACGAGCTTGCACGACTACTTTGGGGTGGTAGATGAAGAGGTTTTTTTCCAGCTGAGGTAGGTGTGCAGCTGATTTCCCTCTGCCACTGCTTGTTGGATTCCATTCTGTCATCATGCTGGTGGGCCCCTTTAAAGCCGTCGCTTTGCTGTTTTTGTGCAAGATGTGAGAAATCTTGACGGGAAGGGCCTCAGTAGGGACAGTTAGGGTGGCTTGGCCAGGGTCTTTGTCCTGACTGGTCCTTCTGGCTTGTGTGCTGGCAGTGTGGTGAAGGGCCGGCTGCCCCAGCTGGGTGAGAAGGTGCTGGTGAAGGCTGCATACAACCCAGGCCAGGCAGTGCCCTGGAATGCTGTCAAGGTGCAAACGCTCTCCAACCAGGTATTCGTCTCTCCTTGCTATCTGTGTTGGAATGGGGAGGAAAAGAAGCCCCTGTGCCCTGAAATTGAGTAAAACCCTTATTTTTGCTGAGGATGGGGCTTTCCAAGGTGAGCACAATAACTGTAGGTTCCTCTGAATTTCCTGCCTACTGTCCTGCAGCCCTTACTGAAGTCCCCAGCACCTCCCCTTCTGCATGTGGCAGCCCTGGGACAGAAGCAAGGGATTCTGGGAGCTCAACCCCAATTGATTTTCCAGCCTCACCGTATTCCTCCCCTCTTTCCTCAGAAGCGTGAGTACCACTAGTAGCATGGATGTTGAAGTTGGATGGACTTGGATGTTAGCATGGACTTGTAACTATCTCAGAAGGGGATATTTCTCTTGTGTAGTAGAAGAAAAGGACAGGAAGGCTGGATGGACTTTTAGGGTTTAATAGTCATCGACTGTTTTCTTCTCTGCAGCTCTGAGTCTCTTCCAAACATCCCATACACTTCATCTGAGCCACCTGAACAGATTTCCTGCTCGGGGCCCTCATGGCCGATTGGATCAAGGCCGAAGGTAAGAGGATGATCCAGCCGAAACAACATTTTATTTATTTGACTAGCATTCTCTTTCCACAGCTACATGATAGTGTAGCTTTACCCTGAAACAAGCAAACTTGAGATTTATAGACAAATATTAAAATTATAAAACTATCTTAGCAGGCAGGGGTTTCATATAATTCATCTTTCAAAATACCATTTAGAACTTCTCTTAATGTTTGATTTTCCCTTTTACTTCTAGTCCCTAATACTGAGATACTAAGAATCAAAACTTTCACATAAATTGTAATTGTCAAAAAGTGTCTAATTCCTACATACATGTTTCTTTTGATATATGATACACTGTAGTGTGGTGTTAGTTTCTGTTTGTTGGATGCTACTTATAAATCCAGGCCTTGCCAGGTACAGCAGGCAGCTTTTTAGCCCTGTGTGGTGCAGGTGTGACAGATTTGGGCCTTTGGGCTGTGCTAGGCGGTCTAATGTGATTTCCGAGCATCAGGGACTGCAGGAGCATGTACCTGTTCTCTTTGCCTCGCATATTCTTCATCCTGCCTTATTCTGTCTCTAAAGGTTTTGCTTAAGCCCTTAGGAGCTAGGCTCTGAACTGCTTTGCTTGAGACTTGCTCTTTACAATGAAAAATTCATGTGTATGTAAAGTAATGATGAACTCAGCTTCCACAACATCTGTTACTCTGTCCCCTAGTTGTTCTTTTTTTTTTTTTTTAAAAGATTTATTTTTACTTATTTATGCATACTAGAACTGGGGTGTAAGCCAGAGGTGCAGGGGTGAGAGGATTCACCAGCAATAGAGTAGGGAACAGATCAGGTGGATCTACTGAAATACAGTGCTGAGGGGAACAGTAGGTGAGACACAGAGGTCTGCTGCGCCATGTGGGCCAGCTCCCTGGCCGGGGATTGAACTCATGCTGCAGTGGCTGCCAGTAGCTTGATAGCACTGAGACTTTAACCCCTGCGCCACCAGGGAGTCCCTCCCTGTTCTTTTTTAAGGTAAAAAATTTAAGATGAAATTATATGGGCAATCCTGACATGGAAAATTCCACGTAATCCTTACCCCTAGTAAGGTACAGGAGAGTCCCATTGCTCTAGAACATTCTCTTATATTGTAGTTTTCTTGGAATGAG